CTGGCGGCCAGTCTTAATTTGTTTAGCTAGAAGCATTTGCCGAAAAAGCCGGTGCCGGTAGCAACAGAAACTGCGGGGAACTATGCAAAATGCGCATCTTCGCACGGGCAGCCCGTGCGTTGGCCAATTTTTTTTTTTTCGCTCAGGAGTGAAACACAGGCAGCCCCTTCTTTTACGTACTACTCTTCACATGGTCCTTTTACATGACGAACGGTTTACATACATTTCCCACTTAACAACGTTCTGTAGCCTTCACCCCTTTCGAATTATTAGTTTGTTGCCTCCGGCCAGGCCGTTCTTACTCCGTTCTTGGCTTTCCACTCATATGATATGGATAGGGTCTCCACGGCCCGTACTGTCTTTTGTTCTTCTACATTCTTGTGTTTTTGACTGTAAAGATTTCCTGGATCTTCTGGTTACTGATAGACTGGACAAGAAGAGTCTTATGGGTACTTGGATCTATAGTTTTTGTAATATTTTGCAAACAATTTCAACAAATTTTATAAAATTTAGTTTTTTTTTTTTGCCACATTCGTCGTACTGAGGAAGTCCACTGTTGTGGTTCTGAAAAGCAATGTATGCGGCTTGATGAACCAAAACATTTTTTTTCCAGTTAATTTTACCTTTCCATTTTTTATGTTTTCCAAAATGTTAATTTTCCGTTTTATAACTTTTCTATCTCACTTCTCTTTTAATTTTAATTGTATTTTCTTACCTGCGTTGATTTTCAAGCTGCGCATTGTAGCCTGCTTTACGATTTCACATTTTGAGAACAGCTGCTTGATGTTTGCTGCACTATCACACGGTGGTCAGAAATCCGTGCCGCATAAGTTTAACCAGGCAAAATGCGGCACAGCGCACTTTAGTGGTTACTTTAGCATCGAAATATGTTTTTTAGAGGTCGCTGAAATCATCGATTTTATTTATGTTGGTAATGTTTTGCTTGTGTTTTGTGCAAATTTTGCTTCAAAAATTCCCCTGTTTCAGTATTTGTGAACGGATTAGCCCACGTTTGGCGCATGCAAATGCTGCAGTAGTCTTGTCAACAGTGAAAGTTTTAATGAAACTTGTGGAAATGTTACCGGAAAATTCGGACTTCATTGGACAGCTCACGAAAAAGCTCGCACCACCAATGGTCACATTACTGTCCGCGGAACCAGAAATTCAATATGTTGCACTGAGGAATATCAATTTGATTGTGCAGAAAAGGTTTGTAATCCGTTAAAGTTAGGTTTATTGAAAATTAGAAAGGTATTGAAAGCAATAAAACAACTGATGAAGGAATAGTAGAATAGAAGGATTCGATTTAAGTGTCATATACAAAAAGACATTTTACGATGCAGCTTGTGTTTCATCCTTTAGTTGTAAACAGAGACCGGACTATGCATGCGGGTAGGAGTGGGAATCATCGGTATAGCCTCCTGCCCGCCATGTATTGAAGGAACATGTAACTATTTTGCAAGACGGAGACGTGAAAGACCCAGGCTGGAACGCGCCAGGCGGGCCGGTGCGATTATGCGTTTTTGCACTTCTCGTGTCGTAGC